TTTTTTTTTTCTTTTTTTTTTTCTAACAGTATATTTTTGTACACTTTGTTATAAAAAATGGTGCTGGGGAAGGTGAAGAGTTTGACAATAAGCTTTGACTGTCTCAATGACAGCAATGTCCCCGTCTATTCTAGCGGGGACACAGTCTCAGGAAGGGTCAATTTAGAAGTTACTGGGGAAATTAGAGTAAAATCGCTTAAGATTCATGCAAGAGGACATGCAAAAGTACGTTGGACTGAATCTAGAAATGCTGGATCCAACACTGCCTATACACAGAATTACACTGAAGAAGTAGAATATTTCAACCATAAGGACATCCTCATCGGGCACGAAAGAGGTAAGATTTTTACTTGCTATTTTATTACATGCAGACGTATTTTTTTCTGGAAAGGTCTCATCTTTGCATCGTTTCCATGTATGCTTTTTTAGTGCATAACCTATAAAATCCCCTATTCCGAAGGATGAGGAGAGGCAGGCTGCCTGTCGGGGCTTTCTCTTCCCCATTACATGGACGCTCGCTGCACATTAAAACCATGCTGAGATGCATCTGCAAAGTGCCTGCAAGCAGGACTTGCTCCAACTGCCTGCCCTTTAACGGAGCTTCTTCCTGGGGATTTGCGGTTAATTAATACTGTGTATTGGAAATGCAGCATTCGTTTTGTCATAGTCGTATTAAGGAGATTGGGTTTGTGGGGGAAAGCGAAAAAAATCAAAACCAGGTATGCAGTGAACGAGTTCACTGGTAGCGACGTCTCGAATTGTGAAATATACAGAGGCATAAAAATACTTTTTTTGACACATGACAGAACTAGCTCTGCTTTTCAGGCTGATCTGTGATGTTTTTTAAAGATGGATCATTTCTGGCACAGCGGAGATTCCCTGTGGCTTATTTTGACATCTGCTATCACCACCCCACGTGTAATTCCCCCGGCTGCTTCCTTTGCTCCCGACTTCCAGCAAATTCCTAAATTAGCTTTAATTTCCCTTCCTGCGCCCTTGGGCAGGGGGTCCCAGCCCCAGAGCGCAGCCCGGGAGGCCGACGGCAGCGCTGGGAGCATCATTCCCAAGTTGGCGACTTCTGGAACCTGCCCTCAGCGAAAGCCCCTCTCGGGAGAAGCCCCGATCTCCCCTTCCCACCCCAAGGCGAGGGGCAGGGGGCGCGGGCCCTCGCTTCGCCCATCCATTGTTCGCAGGGCTGCACTGTGCGAGTGTGGGGGACTCCGGGGTTGTTTTTGTGAAGTTTCCACCCTTTGTTAGAAGCGGTTCAATCCTGTTTGGGACCGGTCCTGGCGAGAGGGAGGGGGTGCGCCCCGCTCGCCGCAGATTGGCTGCGCGCGTCAGGTGGTGGCGATGACTTAATTCCTAGCACAAGAAAATAATGTTAAAACTGGTTATGTAATTTCGCCCTTTTTTTTTCCTTTAATATGCAGCATATTTGCTGCAGAGATGGGTACATGTATAGGGCATTTTTTAAAAAACATCATTTTTAAGGAAGTTTGCCTGCAGATTGCACCGAGCCCATTACAAGACATTTTTTTGAGGTAAAGGCTACAGCCGGGCTGAGTATTCCCCTAGTTACTGGTGCAACCCAGAGCATGGCTCACGGGCGTTGCGGCCGGCAGCAGAAACGCCGCCTGTGCCGCGGCCTGGAGGCGGTTGGCCGAGGCCCGGCAGACGTGCGGACATGCACGAGCCCTCCGCGACAGGCCGACCTGCCGCTCCCCACCGGCCCTCAGCCGCGGCCATGACTTTCCATTGGCAGATGTGCCCCGCAGCGCCAGTGTATCCCAGCGCTGACACTGTGGCCAAGGGCCTTTTTGGGGGGGGGGACGGGAGAGCGGCGGGGCGGCAGGTGGGCACGGGCGGGAGGCGCGGGCCGCGGCAGAGTTTCAATGACTTCGCTGGCCGCCGCTCAGCCTAGCTTGGCGCCGCGCGCCCCGCCCCGCGCCCGCACCCGCGCCGCCATTGGCCCGCGCGCGTTTGTTAGCCTGTTGCTAAGGCGATGCCAGGCGCTGATTGGCGGGCGGCGAGGCGCGGTGGGGGGTAGGCGCAGGGAGCAGGTTGCCTTGCCCGCACTCCGGCGTGCGCGGCGGGGGCGGCCGGCGGCGGCCGGAACCGGCGGCTCGCGGAGAGGAGGGCGGGGGGGGGAAGGGGCCGCGCGCCACCGTTACGGGCGCCGCCGTTACCGCCCTCCGCTGCCCCCGCACTCCCCTCACCCCCACCACCCCCGCGGGGTAACGGCCGCGGGGTCCGCGCGCCGCGCACGTAGCCGCCCCGGCGGGCGGAAGGCGGGGGGCGGGCTGGGGCGGCGGCGCCTCCCCCGCGGCGGCGGCGGCGCGGTGTAATGTATACTGTATGTATATGAGCGGCTGGCTGGCTCAGGAGCTGCTCGCGCCGGTTTAGGCCGGTCCGCTCCTGCTCCAGCCTAGCCGCTGATTGACAGCTCAGCACTTGTTTACCACAGCGCTGCCGCTCGGCTCAGCGGGACTGCTGAGCTGGCAGAAAGGGAGAGGAGGAAGGAAGGGAAACTTCGGGGCCAGGACGAGATTATTGCTTTTTTGAAAAATAAATACGGGCGCACAGCTGTTTTAAAACACATATATATTTATACACACAGTGTCGTGAGCTTTAACTGTGAGATTCTTTCTTGGCCGCATGACACCCCACCATGCCTCCATGTAAATGGTGCGGTGGTTTTTAGGTTACTTGCCATAGCTTTTTTTGGTACACATAAAAAATCAGCGTTTTTGTAGGACAATGGGAACTGTACATTTCTAACTGTGCCTGCCTTCCTCCATGATACTTAACGTTTTAAGCAACTCTTCACATAGACCCCCTGCATTTATTATCCCCTTTCTTTTGCACACAAGATGTTTAGTTCCTTTCTCATAAAAGCAACTATATTTTGATGAAGTCAGCACTTTTCCTGGTGTTACAGTAATTATATCGGAATAAGCCACAAATTTGTTGCAGCATTTACAGCAGCAGAGAGAGTCATGACTATAAGCCCCAAGTCAGCTTTCTTGTTGCAACCAGGAGCCCTTTGGGTCTTAGCTACACCAGCAAGATCCAACTAAGCTTTGAGGGTTTATAGATGAGCGCTAAAAACATGCATTGGGCAATTTTCCACTGCCCATGCTGCTCAATTTGTCCAGTCCTTTCCAGGTGCTGCACATACCTCCCTCCCCCCCCGACCCTGCTTGTCTGTCTTTCTCTTCCCCCTCCCACTCCCAGTGAATTTCTGGGCCCTTTGCAAGCCAGAATATAAAAAATTGAATAAATTTATCTTACGGAGAAAACTTTATACCAAGTATTAAATTGCTAAATACTATTAAAGAGAGAGGCCCATTTGTATTTGCATTTTGAAGTAAATATCATGTTGAAAAACATGATTTCCATGATGGATCTCTTGGCCAGAGCTTAAAATGGCAGCAATTACAACTATGACAGAATTAAGCAGCAAATAATTAAAACAAGTTAATATCTGCTCTTATGTAAGATGATTCTGGCTGTTTTACCTACCTTTAAAAGTTTTGTGGCTTCACAGCCAAGAATTGATACAAATGGGCTGGAGATAATTACGTTCATGACATACCATGTTCTTAAGTGTTGTAAAGAGTGTATAAATCCCCTTTACTCCGGGAAAGAAACCTATGTAATAAATTATGCTGTGTAAAATGTTCACAGGTGGAATAGCATATTGGGTTTTTCCCTCCTAGATGATGACAATTCCGAAGAAGGCCTTCATACCATTCATTCAGGAAGGCATGAATATGCATTCAGCTTCGAGCTTCCACAGACGTAAGTACCCCCCAGCACTGCTCAGGCTGTGTGAGAGGACGCTGAGACACATACCTGCCTAAGAAAAACCCTTGCTGTGGGTGGAGGGGAAACCTTTTCAATGGTAGTAGGAGTTGTGCTCAGACATGCAACAGCGGACATAATCTCATTAAGCTGAAGAGGTTGCTTTTATGCTGGTAAATGTGTATATATATATTTCTTTGTTCTCCCACAAAAGGGGAGATCTTTGCTCAGTTGGTGACTTCCTTTTTTGACCAAAGCCTGACTCATTGTGCCTTGCAGTATTTTACTTCACCCCTGGAGAATGGAGGGGAATTAAGTGTCTTTCAAGTCCAGCTGAATGGCTGTGAGAGCTTCTAACAGGCCCAAGATTGCAGTGGAGCCACGCAGACCAGCAGAACTAGTGATCAGATCACGGCTTGATTGTTTGGGCTCAGTCTGCAACAGATAGGGCAACTTTTAACAGCATCTGAACAAACACAGATGTGGCAAGTTTAACAGCGTTTGAACAAAAGAGGAGATTGTTCTAGTTTAAATGGGATGTATGTATTCAGGCTGGCCTTCCTGCAAAAGAAGGGCTAAAATGGTGCCACATACACCCAGCACACAGGTCTGTGTTGATGTGTCTGCACAACACAGACATCTTGAGGAGCTAGAGCAGTTACCAAGATGGAAGCTGGCTAAGACACAAACATTGAATACAAAGGAACATAGTCCGGAAATGGATGGAGAAAAAAGAGGAAGAGCCTTTTACTGTAAAAGGCAATCTTGGAAGTCAGTGAGGTTGAAAATCTTGGCAGAATGTTATACTCAAGTAGGCTAATATCTAATATTAAAGCAAATGAACCATCTACTTACTAGAGGTGCTGGCTGCAGCAGAACCTCCACATGATGGTTTTACAGGTTGGTTTCAAAGTGAATAGTTTGGCAGTAGATGCCATTGGAACACTTATATAGAGCACTATATATGTAGTGATTCTTAGACGTCAATCTCCTGTTTAGAGGAGGATCTCAATTGCAAAAAGTAAGGACAGAGAATGCTGATCTTCCCTTTATTTGGGATGTTTATATATGAAAGCACAAAACAGCATGTGTGCAGTATAGAGTTTGAGGTGACATAGATGGCCAGTAAAAGACTATAAGCATTGGTCAAAAATACTGTAAAAGATCTTTAAAAGTGACTTGAAACTAGCTTTTGGTAATACTGATAAATACTGGCAGCAAATGTCTGAATTCCTGACAAACAACAGTTTGACACTGTCTACTTAGTAATCTGTATGCTTGCTATTTTGAAAACTGAGAAAGAAACTATAATGCAGTGGTGGAAAAACACAAGGCAGGGACTAGTTTTATTGATTCTGCCCGAAAGAATACTGAGGCCAGATGAAACTCTAAAGGCTGATTAGAAAAAAAGCCTGTCTTCTTTTTTAACCAAAAAGGTGTTTCCAGTGTACAAATAGAAAAGTCAAACCTGTGCATAAAAGAATCATTTACTAATCATAAATGATTAGTAAAAGTCATTTTAGTAAAATCCTAGCCAGTACAACATTAAAAAAAAAAACTACTCTGAATTAAAGTGTTACTGAAAAAGGACTGTAGAGATAAGTGGAGTGTGAAGAATTTTGTCCTTCATGTTCTGCTGCTGCAGAAAAAGGTGATGCTAAAAGACTTGGAGCACCTTTCCATGCCTTTATCCTCTAGATCCCAAGGACTCCTTGTCTTCCAGAGTGGAGAGCAGAATAGTCTCCTCTATTATTAATATTTGAATATGGCCTCATCAGAGCCGAGGAAAATTAGAAGATACTCAAAATAGCCTTTGTCTATTCAAAGCTCTAAATTGAGATGTTTAATTACTCTGCTTAAGGCAAAACAAATGACAAAAGTGCTTAGTTAGAGCTAAAATAAACCAGACACTGAGATACCAGCCAAGTAAACAATACACAATTATTTAGAAAAAAACCAGTATCCCGAACAACAGTTTACTGCTACTGAGGCTAATTTTGACTGAGTAGCCTTAAAATGGCAGGCAGCATCCTAGACTTGAAAGCAACCTCTTAAGCTTAAGGAGAAAGAGCACTCTTCTGGCATTTTCTAGCACAATCCTGTCATCAATTCTTAAAATTTCTACCAAACTACTGTTGGATGAATTGGAGATGATTTTTTCTCCCAGCTTTAATCTTGAATTTTCTGAGATATGGAAACTTTGCAAATAAGTTATGCTTAATTAAATATTCTGGTGCATTAAAACGACTACTTCAACATAGCACTTCCTAATCTGATCACCTGTATCATCATTGGAAAGAGAGAGAAAGACGTTGCTCAATTTTGACCTTTGTGTCCTGCACAGACCACTTGCTACCTCATTCGAAGGCAGACATGGCAGTGTGCGCTATTGGGTGAAAGCCGAATTGCATAGGCCTTGGCTTCTACCAGTAAAATTAAAGAAGGAATTTACAGTCTTTGAACATATAGATATCAACACTCCTTCATTACTGGTAAGAATTGACAGAATTACTCATTCTTTGTTTCTGGCATACGAATAATGAATTACAATAACCAAAACAACATCAATATCTAATTTTATCTAATATTTATTTGCTAGTTTAACTACAGCTGATCTTCTAAGCATCCTTTTGGTTTTGCAACTCTTTAACTGCTGGTATTTTGAAAACTAAATTACCCCATATAGAGTTGCTTGATTCTTAACAAACAATAAGATATAAATGTACTTGTTTTTTAAAACTGATAATTTATAAAGACTTACCCAGGTGGAGAATTTCTATGAACTGTTCCTCTTTCCTTTCAAATAAGGAATAGCCTCTGGAAGGAACATACAATGCATAAAAATACTTCATTTTGAGACTGCTAACTTAAAAATGCAAAGTAAAAAATGTCCTGCAGTGCATAATTGATAATTTCCATATAGATAACTTACTGTTTATGGGGAGAAATTATCACAATTCTGTATAAACTTCTTGAAATTTCATTATATTAAAATCACTTTAATATCACAACTACTTTCAATGAGGATTTAATTTCAATCTGGCCTAAAATCCCTTTCTTTTCCCTCCCCTTCCCTCTTCCTCAAATTTTAATCTCTGGAAAAAAATAAATTTTAAAAACAAAGTCCATTGAAATAGGTTTCTTGTGTGTATGGGAGAAAAATCAGACTTGTGAAGGGACCTTGGCCTTGCACAAACTCCATTAAAATCAAAGGACTCTCATTTGACTTTAATGGGCTTTGGATCAAGCCCTTAATCCTTGTTTCATGTAAAATAACAGTTGGTTTAGTATAGATGAGAAAATGGCAGGAGTCAAGATTAGAGTAGTTTGGCTTAGTTGCTTTGTTTCTGAAATGTAGTGTAATGTGAAGTGGGAAGATGTGCTAATTTGCTGATAATTACATGGAAAGCTTGGCCAACGTTCCCTTAGAATGTGTAGGCCATACAGCATTTTATTTTAAGCTATTCAGTATTTATTTTAAGTATATATAAAAAAAACTTCTAAGTACTTTTAAGTATGACTGTAGTGTGGAAGATCCTGTGGTTGGGAGAAAAAGGCAGCGCTAATGGCAGCAGTGGAATTAGGACAAACGTTTTTATCTCTGTAATGACATTTAAATTGTTTTAGATATTTCTTACAAATAGAAGAGATTTCCAAAAAGCACATCATGAAAATGATTGTTGTGTGTGTATGTTGATTAAAATCACTGATGGGTTTAATTGAACTCTGTAATTTAACGGGCATTTTTATTCTTTTCTTGCAGTCACCCCAAGCAGGCACAAAAGAAAAGACTCTCTGTTGTTGGTTTTGTACCTCAGGCCCAATATCCTTAAGTGCCAAAATTGAAAGGAAGGGCTACACCCCAGGTACGTAACAGAAGTAATTATAGGAAATGTTCCTCCTTCCCTTTTAAAACTACGTTTTGAAATGACTAAGTTTGTGCTTAATGGTTTTATGTGAAAATTAAGGCTATGTTTACCACCTCTGTCCACATTCAGCAATTGCCTCAGAATATTTTGAAGTAAAACAGACAGCACTAGCTCTATCTCACCATTGCTGAAGTTCACTTACTTCTGCCAAGCAGACTTCTGCACTTCTGTTTTAGATTGCCTAATGGTGACGTGGCTCTCAACAGATAGAGCAGCAAGAGCAAGGTCTAGTGCATTATAGTTTTGCTTAAACTGCTCCGTAAATATAATGAGAACTTAAATCCTCTTTTGTTTCAGGTGAATCAATTCAGATCTTTGCTGAGATTGAGAACTGCTCTTCCCGTATGGTGGTGCCAAAGGCAGCCATTTACCAAACACAGGCATTCTATGCCAAAGGGAAAATGAAGGAAGTCAAGCAGCTCGTTGCCAGCCTGCGTGGGGAGTCCCTGTCGTCCGGCAAAACAGAAACCTGGAATGGCAAAGTGTTGAAAATTCCACCCGTTTCCCCTTCCATCCTTGACTGTAGTATAATCCGTGTGGAGTATTCACTAATGGTATGTTGCATGTTCTGTTTCATTCTCAAATATGGGTCCTTCCCATCATTCCATGCAAACTCTTAAAAAGGGTTTGGCTAATTAGTTACCAAAAAAAAGGAAAGAAAATATGCATGCCAATGTTAAGTGTCCCGACAGGAAAGCTGTGAGTGAGTTTGGTTCACATCACGCAACTTTTTAAAATAATGGTGTCAGCCAAACAAACATGTCATCAGTAGCCTGCATTTCCATGTGAGGCCTTGCATTAAGAATGTTGAGCTTCCATTAATGCGGAGAGCTTACAGGCCCTTAGGGGCACAGGCCCCACAACAGACAATTAGAAACAAGTTCCTCAGAGGAACTTCCACAGCAAGAAAAAACTTGGTCTAATAACTTAATGCTGATGCAAACTCATGTTTCTATTTCTTATTTTCTTCAGGTGTATGTTGATATTCCGGGAGCCATGGATTTATTCCTTAACTTACCACTGGTCATTGGTACCATTCCTCTCCACCCATTTGGTAGCAGAACATCGAGCGTGAGCAGCCAGTGTAGCATGAACATGAATTGGCTTGGTCTGACCCTGCCTGAAAGACCAGAAGGTAAATTGACAATACAAATCTAAAGCAATCTGTTATTAGTTTAGATTTTTTGTTTCTTTCATTGCTGTGTCACTAGGAGAAGCGCACTGTGTCCTTTCACAACAGTGCCCACAGGGAATCCTTTGTGTAGGGTGTTCCCTTGCCACCTCTTTGCTGCAGAGGAAGAGAGTTTCCTCTGTCAACTGCCCTTCTCTCTGCCTAGGAAAGGCAGGGGAATCAGACTGCCTTGGGAGCTGGTTGAAATGAAGGCCTAGGATGCTGTTTCATCTGGGCAGAACGTGGTTACTCTTACCTGCTGTAACCCAGTTGCATCCTTGCTTGTGGGATGTTACAACCCACAATATTAGTGATGTCTCAGCTCTCTTGTCTGCCATGATAGCTGTGGCTTTCTGAAAAACTTAGAGTATAATTTCATGGGATATCTGCCTTCTGGCTGAAGGAGGAACTTGACCTCCTTCCCTCCTATCACACACCTAAGGAACATACTGTTTTGTAAGTACTAATACTGGACTCTGATTTCTGAAATCCAGAGGATTGCAACAGTCTGTCTCTTCTGCCTGTACATGAAAAAACAGCATCCTTGGCACACTTAAATCAGGGGGGTAACTGAGCCACAATACGCAGTGGTCAGTCTGTTTTTGAACATAAGCTTGCTTAATCTTAAAACGAAATCACTTAGCTCACTTCTGTGTTAACAGTTGTAAAAAAATCTGAATATTTACCTGCCTGCAAGTGTCTCTTATAATGACAAAAGTTTAATATTTATCATATTATATATTTTGACATGCATAAGAACGTGTTGTTCGAACTGCGTGTACCTTTTCCCTCCAGCACCTCCGAGCTATGCAGAAGTGGTCACAGAGGAACAGCGGCAGTCGAGCCTGGCGCCCATAGCCGCCTGCGACGACTTTGAGCGGGCGCTCCAGGGACCGTTGTTTGCGTACATCCAGGAGTTCCGCTTCCTGCCTCCACCCCTCTACTCAGAGGTAGGCACACGGCAGGCAGTGTGAGCAATAACCTGCTACCCGTCCGAATTTTGCCTTGTGGAATACATGGAGGAAGACATTCCCCTCTGCAAAAAAAACTCAGAGAAAGCAGTGAAGGGAGGAAGGGGAAACAAGGTGCCCCCCTCCTCAACTCAGATCCTTTAGCAAGAATCACATTTTCCATGTCTATTTCATAGCACGGGCTACACTCACTTTCTGTACATGACCTTGGCCTTGTATTTGAAAGATGGTCTGGCCAGTGCCTTGTAGGCCTGGAAATGGTGTTCTCTTGGCAGCACGCCGTAGAAGCTTCCCAAAAGTACTAGCAGTCTTAGAGCTGTGTGTGCATCTGTTCATGAATCCCCCTCCTTTTCTCTTTGTAACTCCTTTTTTGTAAGACATGAACATATTTTTTTTGCAAGAACAGCAGTGATACAGAACAAATAACTGTTCGCTTTAGATGAATTTTGCCTGAATATTCACTTTAAGCCAAGAGCCCCATGCGTTTCCCCTGTTAAAGACTAACACTATGAAATGGGCAGAGACAGGAACCCTTTGTGTGCTGTTCATGATGAAACTGTATAAAACTGTTCATATCATCCAGTCTGCGAGACTTGGGCTAGCAGGTTTCCCTTTATTCCTTTGGGAAAGGAAGAAAGTAAGGTCTGAGAACACATGAGCTTTTGAAACTTAATATATTGAGGATTAACTATTTTTAAGTAGTATTTCCTTTTTTTGACTATTTTCTGCCTTTTTCAAGCAAAACCTCAGTATCTCTAAATGTATCTTCGATGACGTTTTTAGTAATGTGTCATCGTTCTGGTACATGTCAGGTGATTAAAGACTTCCCTAGTAGTAGGAAGGTTTTTGTGTGTATATAAGTTTGGTATTAAGCACAAAGAATTACGTTGGTAAAAATCTCTAGTTAAAACCTCCCAATCTTTGGTTAAAGCCTTCAATTTACTTCATATGTATTAAGTACATATTCTATTAAATTTATCCAAAGCTTTATTTCAATAACCACAGGTTTAGCATTTGTTTTAATAACCTTTGGATTGGGAATACCATGCATCATTATAATCTACTTAAAAATGTGAACTCTGATCTGCCTCTAACAGCTGAATCTAAAATACCACCTTTTTTCTTTCCTCCCCTTCTCCCCTTTGCCTTTTTCATTAGATTGACCCCAACCCAGATCAGCCCACAGATGAGAGACCATCCTGCCCCTCTCGTTGAAGGAATCCATGCTAAGCTGACTTGACTTGGGTTTTGAATCGCGCTTACCGTGTTGAAGATCGAGGCGTCATAGCGGAGACCCACTTTCCCAAGAGAGTGGCGGTGTTCTCGCCTGGACGGTGAACAAATGAAAACAACCTGTGATCATGCTTAGAAGCCTACCGTAACATCATAGGACTGCTCCACATGCTTGAAGATCTGAGCTTTTTTCCCCCCTTAAATACTGGCACATACTAGGAGCAGCCTTAGTAGCCTGCAGTCATGTGTGTCAAACACTCGCCACGCTGTAAGAGAGGGATGGCTTCCTACTATGATTTGGAAATTTGCACATGCTCATCGCTTACGTTGTGCGGTTCAGTGTCACTACAGCTTTTTCTCATTTATGCCTGACTGTTGTTACCCCCTCTTACTTGTTCGTGGCCCGCACAACAAGGAGCAAAAGAAAGCTTTGATAAAAAAAAAAGAAAAACAACGTTGACAAAGACTTAACAAATGCACTGACTTTTTTTTTTTCTTTTTAATTTAATGTAGCTTGGACTTTACCTGCATATGCACATGCTCAGAAATGTCCTAATAGGCTGATCATGTATCACCTCTTCAGCTTGGATCCTCTTGTGGATTTATTTACAAACATCAAATGCCTTCAAGCCAATCCTTCTTGCTGTATGTTTTGCAGCCTACTGTAGTAGATAAGCAACAGATCCATTGGGGGTGGGGGTAGGAGGGCAATACCAGAAGGAGACTAATATGAGACTGTCAGGATTGTAGACCTTCTTCATTTCTTTTAAAAATTTGTTGCCTTTCTACTATTATCGCAAAGCAGCATTTTGTTACAGACTGCCTAAAAATCACTTAATCTCAGGTGAACTCATCACTTGCCAAACTGTTGGAATGCTATTTGTTTTATGTTGCACTGTTGAGTTACTTCATTTTTTTTTGTTGTTGTTGTTTTGTGTTGGTGTTTTATTCTCTACTGAGAGGGGGATTTGGAAGAGGGACATACACAAAAGTTACAAAACCCACCTGCATTCCCTTAGTAACTTCCTATATTATAAGAAAGAGTCAAGTTGTGAAGCCTTAAAAAAGAAAAAACAAAAGGCACAAGTGAAAGCAGCACCATCAGCCACTAGCTAAGCATTAAAAGAATTTTCAAAAGGACATAGTCCTATACTGTCCAGCATTCATGGGCAGAGAAGATTCTCAGTGAGTAGGGATAGGAAGGGAAAGTAAATTTATTTTTTTACATAGTTACCTAATCACCAAAAATTCTATACCTTTATATAAGGAGTCTCTAGTAGAAAGTATATTTCAGACAAGAAGAGCTTGGACTATGGTAAAAGAGAGCTCAGTTTGTGCACTTTGTATTATATTCAGGGTTTATGATACTGTAAAAATACTATGACTAGAACTGTAATGAAACTGGGCCAGAATATCAGTGTTGCCAGCTGTACTCAAGTGGATGTTGGGGTAGAATTCCTCAGCCGTTGCAGCTCCTGGGGTACTTTCATGAGCTTTAAAACAACCCCCAGCAGCTTCAAGCAGGTGCTGGTTCAGGACAGAAGACATGAAAGATGAGGAATTCTTGCTCCTGCGTTCATCCCAGAGGTGGAGGTAAAGAAAGAGGAAGGGTGCAGTGGAGCCATAAGCTCCAGTAACACAGATAGCAGCCCCTACCCTGCTAGGGCCTCAGGAAAGTCCACTTTCCTTTTCCAAACTCACAGAATTGAGACTATTGACAAAGGGACACGCTGCTGGGGGCGGCTGCTTCAACGAGAGCCCATCCACCACGTGGCTTCTCGTGCAATAAAACAGCTCAGAAGGGGGAGAAGGAAAGCTGGTGGATTCTGCGTGGTGCTTATTTTTACAAAAAACTGCCTTGGTTTTTAAGGCTTCATAGAATGACATAATAGGCTTTTCCATAAGTGGCCTTTATGAGAACATGAAGGATACTTCATGTTTCAAAAACAATGACAGGGTGAAAAAGTTTAAATATGAGTCGCGTTTTAAGTGATTCAGGTAGGAGGTTTTTGACTTTGATAAGCAAAAATACTGGATAAAAAGGCAATTGGGTGATGTCTTACCTTATGAGGCCATTTTGTGAATGTCCCTTTCCTTTACCCTCTCCATCCAGATGAGAAAATTAAAAAAAAAAAAGCTGATGGGATCTTTGGCATAAAAGGGCATTTGGTGGTTTTACTTTTTTTCAACTTTTTTTTTTTTTTCATTTTTGTTTTAACAGACTAGGGAACAATTACCGATATACATAGCATTAAAGTACTTATCACAATATAATGGAAAAATGCATATGAAGCAGGATTGACCAATATCAAAGCAATTGGCATCGCATCACAGCCTTTGAGCTCAGACTTGAGAAATTCTGAAACTGTATCCAGTAGGGACTCTCCACGTAAACTCTCCTGTTAGCTCATTAGGGGCACTGCTCCTCTTCCACAAATATTGGTCAATTCTCAGCATTACAAAACATAAGGTTCACAGTTGTATCCCAGTATTTGATAGAGAATCCTGATCTGAATTAGGGAAGATATAAGTAAAATCCAAACATTAGAGAAACAAAGTGCAATATTAAATGTTTGCTTTATAGATTATATTCTATGGCTGTTTTGTACTTCTCTTTCCTTTTTTTTTTTTTTTGTTTTTTTTTTTTTTTTTTTTTTTAGTTTTGGTGCTGACTATGTCCTTGTAGACTCTGTTTCAAGAAAACTATGTGGAAAACAATTTAATTTTTCCTATTGCTCTTCCTTGTGGAAAATAAACTTTTTTTTTTAAAAAAAAAAAGCCTTTTAATGCTTTCAGTGTAAGCCTTAAAATCTATACAACACAAATTTTACTGCGTGACTGTGCAGTAAATATAGGTCACGAGGATCAGCTTACTGTAGGAATACATATACTAAGCACGTACCAAACAACAGAACTATTTCTGGAGCGACACCCCGGATGGAGGCAACAGCAGCTCAGTTTCATCATCCTCCTCAGTTCCTTTTTCTTACTTGACAGCTGTTGAGGACACTGTCTCTATGCTCGCTGCAGCTGGAGCGACCTGTTGGAGTTGTGGAGTACTTCCATGAGAAGCGGTTCGGTGGGGAGAGGGGCTTTGGTTCAGTAGGGATGGGAGGCAGTGATGGGGGTGTGTTCTGGAGGCCGGGCAGCAGCGAGGCCGTGGAGGCTGGTTCGGTGATGTGAGGAGCCCCGGCTGTGCCCGCGCTGCCAGAGGTGCGGAAGGGCTGCGTGCCGGGCGCGGAGGTATTAATAGAGCCGGCGCGCGTGCCAGCGCGGCGGCATCCCGCTTCCGCATGCCGCGCACAGCTGAGCCTCCGGCAGCAAGGATTAGCATCGTCCTGCGGGGTCAGCGCGGCGGCTCACCCGAGGGAGGGGTCAGCCGGCTGCGGGCCAGGCGCTCGGCAGCCCCTCGGCGGCCGGGCCCCAGGCTCCCTGCTCACGCTGCTGGCGACGAGCGCGGGCCGCGGACCCGCAGCCTGCGGCCACGGTGCCACTGCCGCGGCGGGCCCGGCCAGCCCAGCGAGCCCCCTGCATGGCCGCGACCGGAGGCTTCTGGAGCCTGACGAGTCCTGCGGGAAAGGCGGCATTCCCACCGAATTCTGAGCTTGCAACTGCCAATTACGGAGCGGCCACGAAGAGGGTTCTAAGTTTTTTCCTTTTTTCTTTTTTCTTTTTTTTTTAAAGTTAATAATACAAACAGTTCATCTGTATCTGAGTTCTGGTTTAAAGCAATAAGAAATCATCCCCCCACCCAAAAAGGAAAAAAGAAGAAAAAGGTTCTCATATGCACAATGTACTGCAAATTCCTTTATAACTGAGTAGCAATGATTAAAATAATTACTTTTTTTTCCTAACACCAGCACTAGTCTTTCTAGTAGCGAAGTTCCTGATGTTACGTGTTAGAATTTAAGCTGTCTGCAATAGCATTTCAAGGACACACACTCCTAGTGTTTCTGTGCAACATGTTCTTGAAATACCATTTTTAGACCAGAATTACTACTTAGGATTCCTTCAAGCTTAGGTTTAAACTGTCACTCTTACCATAAAATGGGAAATTATTCAAGTTTTACTCTGAGATATGAGTATTTTCTCTGAAAATGCAAATATTTCATATTTCTGAGTACAAAAACACCTATGTACAAACACAAATCGGTGTAACATAGTGATTTAAAGTAGCAGCTCTTCCACCTTGGCAATGCAGGGGGATGACACAAATCGCACTGCTCCAGCACTTACGCTCTGAGACACCCCAGCCCATGTGGCAAAACCCAACATTTTGTTTTGACACTTAACTATTCCAAACACAGAGGAGCTTTCCCAGGCCCTTTCCGAAGGCAAGCCCCTGTGTTTTACAGAAACCAACCAGTAACTTGCCTTAAGTGAGCGCCTGCCTTGATTTCTGCGGTACCACCTGCGGCTGCAGCGCCCGGCCAGGGGCACCTTCAGAAGGAGCCTTGTGCCACTAAGGTCAAGGCCGCCCGTGCGGACGTGGTGCCGCCTACCAGCACAGGCAGCGCCCTGTGGCTCCTGTGGCAGACAGCCTGGGCCCGGCCTGGCCTCCTCCAGGTCACTGCTCCACGTCGGCAGCTGCTCCCAGGAACGGCGACTTGGCCCGAGGCTCCCGCCTGACGCACGGCGTCCGCTTGCGGCCCTTGCGCATACAGGGCACTTGAGCAGAAGCTCCTCAGGAATTCACAGCAGTGCGAGTGCTACCCAGCGCCTGCGTCACCACTGACAGGATGACGGTGTCACCACGTTCCCACCTTTCCATTTTTTTCCACAAAAGCCGCTCCAGAGGCCCGTCACGGGCCGTGCTTCGCTCCCTTCCAGATGGTACCCTTGACACGAGGAGGAAAGTCACCTATCTGTTCTCCAACAGTCACTCACTCCCGAATCTCTCCATGCCAGCTACAGGAAGCTACATTTAGAGCAGGATCTCCAGATCTCCCGGCCCGGTGGACAGAGCGGTCGCACCGAGGGGAGGCCGGACACCGCGGCAAAACCAAGCCCAACACTTGCACCTTTCATCTAACCTAAACCCAGCGTTCAGCGACAGGGAAGGCCAGGCCCCATCAGCCATTTGCCGATTTAATAGAAGTTATTTCTGGAGTGAATTTAGGAGTGTGCCACCACTCAATCTTTCTCAACAAAGGTACGATATTTTTGTTCTCAATGGAATATAATGAGAAGACACAGGAGGAGGGAAAGCTTTACAAAATTTCATACAAGCTTTTCTAACTGTTCTCTGAAAATTCATGCAATGATCTAAATCCAAACAAGGTCTTACTATCTCCAAACTGCCTAAAACCCAAATTAAGCTCCCCACTAGAGATGGGCTAGATACTGATATTCCAGGTAAATTTGCCATGCTTGCCCATCAGCTAACAAACAGCTTTGTCTTTCCATGGGTCAGTCAGCTTTGTAAAAGACACAGAACATTTCCTGGGTAATGATTTCTAATTAATATGTCATTTTTTGATTATTTACACTCTTCTTGTAGTCAGTTGAAGACTGTAGTCAACGGTTAAACAAGTCCACTTTTTGCAGGTTAGCATTGCTAAGGTCAGAAAACAGAGAGCCACAACACACTGAAGCCCAGCTCTGGTTGCCAGCTTTCCTGCAGTATGAAGTATGCAATATAAACAGAGAGAAGTTTGTTTCACTCTCTCAGAGCAAATTAATTATCTCTCACAGCTTAAAATAAATAGTGTTCTTGCAGGCTTTTTAAGAGCAGCAGGCAAGAAAGACAGTTTTATTCCTGACCCTTTTATTTTAGTGCATCAGACACAATATACTGTGGCAAATTTGCACGCCTATAAAACAATAAAGTGATTCACCAGTTGCACCACATAAGGCTCTGCTCACAAAGAAAACAAATGAAAAAACCAATTATCTAGCAAAAGCAGAAATAAAACTATCTAATTTAAACAAACTTTCACACCACATGCGTTTACTTTTCTACTTTCTAAATTTCCCCTCATTTCTCCTGGTATTTCAAAGCGATTCAAAGGTAACAGTCTTCATTTCCTCACAGCCATCTCTTTTCTATAGCTTAATCAGAGTTTGTAAAGCTCCAAAACATTCCATTTTTTTTATTGCTTGTATAGATTTGTATATCTTACACCACCAGCACTGCCAAATCTAAAACTCCATTTATAAAAATAAAAATCTTATCTGCCCTCTCTACATGAAATGTCTTCCTGGAAGGCTCTTGTAAAGTCACTATCCCTTTGCTCCCCCCAGGCTCATCATTTTTCACTGAAGAATGCTGGAAGTGAGGATTCGATGGAACCTGGTGGGAATTCCTAGTTTCGAACTCGACTTTTGCTCACCGCATGAGGCAGATGAACTAGGCAGCTGCAGTATGGCACCTACTTTATAATATTTCCATGCCTTTAATCTGAAGTATCTCACAATGAATGTAAATGAATTTACCCTGAGGGTGACTGTATTGTGGATTAAACGCACGCACATGACCAATTAATATTAGAGCACCTGGCTGCACAGTAAACTCTTCTCCTTGCCTTACATGTGAGGTCCCATGTCTCACCAATGCCTTGTGATCACCCCCTACCCCCAGAAAAGAACAAATCAAATCTTTAAATGGCTTATAAACTTCATTTTTATGCAGCTGTTGCAACGAGTATTATATTATGCCATACTCATGCCAATCCTTGTTGAGTACAAGGGCCAATTAGAAAGTCATTTTGAAATGGATTAATTTCTCTGGCAGATATTTGGTACTTTTCCATGATTTTATGTGCCCTAACACTAACAGAGCTTCTGGCACTAGCAGAAGACGCAAGAAAAGACACGCTGGAGAGATGGCAGCGCAGGCAGCGGAGCAGAGTACGAGCAGCACGTTGCTTCCACGTCCTTGCTGCTACAAAAGGCAAGCTCCACCGGGCTCAACCTTCCTCTCTTGGCAACTGCTTAATAAATACAGCGTCTTCCAACAAATCATTGCTATCTCCTCGGCTCAGTGCGAGCCAGCCTGAAGAGAACGATGATAAACCTGCTATGACTACACATAAAGAATACAATGAGCAGAGGAACAAACCCAAATTTTGCCCCTACCCCTCTACCCAAAGCCTCTGGTGATCACCGAGAGGGAAAAGCAAGACGCCTCATCTCCAATGAGCCCCTCCAACGTGCAGTTTATTGTAAGACATTGTAAGAGGAAAGGCCCTCAGGGAATGTGGCAAAAATCCTTCTGGAATGTCTTACAGAGCAAATTGCTGGCCAAGCTGAACCACCTCCGTCACCTGCACAAATGTGTGAGGAAAATACACATACGTCCCCAACACACGCACACGGAGTAGACACTGGATTAGGAACAGCTTTGATTTATGTAATTCAGAAGTCTGTTTACTAGTTACACTAAACAGAGTTCTTGCAAGTTCAAACAAGGACATTGGGGACTTGAACGTGCTGTTGTATTTTCTAACCTTATAAGAAGATGTTCTGTTTCTGCAGCTCATAGATCTTGCTAAATATGGTGACAGTTCTAATAAGGGGCTTCAAAACACTATTATGGGATTATTTGAGGATGCTCACAGTCTTAGCCAGGAACTCAAGCAAACAGTTTCTCCAGCTCTGGCATAATGTAAATTGTTGACATGAGCAC